TTCCCATTCTCACCATTGTGTAAACTTCACACTTGTGAATGTGGGCACACTGGGAACATTGAGGAGGTTTTTTTTTTTTTTTTTCTATAGGTTTGCAGTCCTCTGATTGCCCAAAGCAGAAGCAAATCAAACCTACCAGCTTCAGTGTTACGAATCAAATTTGTAGCAACCAGGATTCTTCATCTCCCCATATCCCAGTTCTACCTCCTCCCTTCATCATCCAACAGGCCATCCTGGAACCATATCCCAGAAAATCCTAGTACAGAAAACACTGGTTCCCTTTTCAGCTTGAGTCTACAGACATTGGTACCAGGTGCAGAAGAGCAGATCTCAAACACAAACATGTATTTTGGTGCTGTCCTTTCAGAATTACATTGATGACTGCCACTTCTGAGAGATTGCTCTGGGTGCTTTGCTGGGCCCGTGTCTTCTCACAGCAGTTGAGAGACATTAAGAAGTGTGCAGAACTGAGATTCAAACCAAGGACCATTCCCTTTCTAACCATATCAAGTGACCATTGCCCAGGGGCCCTTCCATATCCATGACCTTTGTCACTTTGGAACAAGTTCCAGTTGTTTATGCAGAAGTGATACTGAATGGCAGGGTGGGGGCACCCACTATCTTCTTCTCAGAGCCCTTTGTGCTCTGTATGTTGGGGCTTTACACATAGGGCATTTTGCCATTAAAAATCAGCTTCTATTCCTGTTCTTTTGTCTGGTGACCTGACCCAACAGATTGCTTTCTGGACACTGAGTGGAAATACAAGAGCTAAACTTAGCATTGATTGTTTTTACTCTTTTGTATTGTACTTTTTAAAGGGATGAAGCTAGAAACCGTTAGAATCTGTGCCACAGACAGGACAAGTGGCCGCATGGCTATTGATATACACTAGCAGTGCTTTCCTTTTTCGAAATAGCTTCCACTTGACTCTGCCTAGCTGCCTGCCTGTTTCATATGCAGCCAATCCATGGCTCAGAGAAGGATCAAGGCTTTGTGGCATAACCAGATTAAACCTTCTTGTGTTAGGGACAGTGACAAGTAACAAGTAAACACCCACTGCCTCTTGTATATTTTTTGTCCTCATTTTGTCACCCTCTTCTCCTTCATGTCCTCTCATTCTCTGCCAGGTCTGCTGTGTACCACACTCTGTAAAGGACCCCAGAGAGCCACCCTGGGTTTACTTCAGAGCTGGGAGGCCAGCAGAATGAAAAGCAAGTGAAATTCCCCCCCTCCCCCCATAGATAGGATCAGTCCCTTCTAAATTGATGGCTTTCTCTGCATTTGACTGAGACACATTCCATCTTATGTCCTGGGCTCCCACACACCAGCTGTGGTACCATCGTGGTCTTTCACTGCTCTGTGGATAGGCCTGCTGCTTCCTTCCTCAGCCTGCCACACCCCTGAGCCTTGTGGTGTTTTCAGTGTCTTGGCCTCAAAGGGAAGTTGGTTCCAGCAACTTCCTGAAAACCCAGAGGAGAGAACCCAGAGGAAGATGAGGTTTGGGCCCTGGTTCTAAAGTGGCTCCTTTCCAGGGGGAAGGCAGAGCACAGCCCTGTAGGCTCAAGGAGCACAGTCCCATAGGCTCAGCAGCCTCAGCTCTCACACGCTTGTTAATACAGTTTCTCAGAGAAAATGTACAGACAAGAAAAACAAAACTAAAACAGCATAAATTAACCAGCCACCTGACAATCAGTCATTAACATTTTGGCCTGTTCCTTTTTATTTCATGTGTAGCACACTATGTATTTTACTAAATAGGAATCACAGAGCTTTAGTAACTATGGCCATTAACTAGTCCTTGAAACTGCACTGTTACATGCTGTGTGTTATTCCCTTATAATCTGTTTAACAGCCACCTGCTGTAGGACATTTTGATTATACTTACCAATTTGCTGTCATTTGTTATCATTTTGATTTGATTTCCACTTTTTCTTAGGATTTCTTTTCTCCTTTCTTAATAGGCAGTCACAACTCAACTCAGTCATGTTAATTTGTAGTTCTCATTGATAGCTGAGGCTAACCTTGCATTCAAAGTGATTCTCCTGTCTCAACTTCTTGGGATGAAGCTGAATTTATATTACCATGCCTACTTTAGTTTATATTTCCTCTGTTTTGAATTCATTGTTTTGGTTTACTGAACTAATGTCAAATTAAAACTATCTTTAAGGAATGGTAAACACTGAGCAGGGGAGATGGGTCAGCGGGTAAAGTACTAACTGTGCAAGCCTGATGACCTCAATTCAGATCCAAGAATCTTTGGAAAAGCCAGACACAGAAGAGATCATGTATGTGGTCCTAGTGGCCCCTAGCAGGAGATGGGGACAGAGACAGGGGATCTCTGGAAGGTCACTGACTAGCTAGCCTGACATATTCATCAGTGAGCAAGAGAGATGGAAGGACTAATACCTGAGTTTGTCTTACTCTGATTTACACACATACACACCATACAGACACGTGCACATACCCCACAAACACATATGTACACATACCAAACCCATATGCACACAAACCACATACACACATCCACCACACAGAAACACACACACCACATAAGCACACCAGCACACAAACACACACAGCCCACATACCACACAAACACATTATACAGACATACCACACAGAAACACACCATACAGAAACACACGCCATACACACATTCACCACAAACACACACCACATATACACAAAAACACCACACACATACCATACACACACCACACTTGGGGAATGTGAGAACACTCAAAAGGAATGGAATACTGTAAGGAAACGTTTTCCACAGGTATGAAGACATACTTGAGCAATATAAGCAGCAGCTTGCAAAGGACCTTTTGTTGTTGTTGTTGTTGTTTTTTTTTTTTTTTTTTTTTCTTTCCCTGAAATAAGGGTTTCTCTGTAGCTCTAGAGCCTGTCCTGGAACTCGCTCTGTAGACCAGGCTGGCCTGGAGATCTGCCTGCCTCTGCCTTGCAAGTGTTGAACTTAAGGGCGTGGGCCACCACCACCTGGCTACAAAGAATCTCTTTTTTGGGGGGGTGGGAGGTAAAGTTTATATTTGAAAATAATTCATCAAATTTACCTAGAGGAATAGGTATCAGAGCTGTCTCTCTCAGGATCAGGAAGATTGTGATTTGAGGTCTTTGGATCTTCAGTCCTGCTTCGTTCTCAGCTGTCCGGCTAAACTTCCAGTCAGTCTTTTTCTGTCTCTCCAGCTCCTGAGACTCTCAGTGTTTATAGCCCTGAGCAGTCTTGTGTCCTTTGCTCAGGCTGCAGCCCTTGGGTCACCTGTCTCATGACTTAGCAGAGTGTCTGGGAAAAAGAAACTTTATATCTAGTCTTGGTTTGGCTTTCTTTGGCTCTTGGACACCCTCTTGGGCTGCTTTGCTTATCCTCTGACCAAGTGGACTCGGTGCTGTTTGGGTGACATTCAGTCCAGGATGTATCTCAGTGGCCATGGAGAGATGTGGCCACTGTAAGCCATGTGTGGTCATGGTAACTCATATCTAATTCCATCACTTGGGAAGCTTAGACAGGAGGTTTGCCACAGCTCAGGACCCTAGGTTACAGAGTAGCATCCTGCCCAGAAGAAATAAAACAAGAATGGTTCTGAAGAGCTCTGTTCACAGTTCTTGCTACTTGGAGTGTTCATCACTAGGGATAGAACAGTCTTATGAAATATAGTACATCTTTCTGCACCATAAACTTCTTGAGGCAGGGTCAATGTCAGACTAGCCTGAGTTTTCACTGTATCATAGCTGTATTACTTGCCCTGGGCCAGGGTGATCCTTCATGCAGGGTGCTGTGTGGATGTCTTGGTCAAGAATGATGCTCAATGAGTGATCTGAATTGCTGTGGGTGTCAGTGGGGGCATGTACATACCTACTGTGTGCCATTTCCAGCTTTATTTCCATTCCACTGACTGCCTGCCTCAAGCCATCACATTTGCCACCCAGTACATACACATACATACAGATTATCAGAGATAGGCAGGGTTAACCTCTGACAGCATGTGCTTCTGGCCTTTGCTTTTGTGTTGTAAATCGGAGAACAAGAACTTTGCCAGATGGATCTTTGCATCTCCTAAAATTCCCAGCATGGCTTCTGATTCTATAGTAAAAACAAACAAACAAACAAACAAACAAAAACCCACAATAATTTGTTCTTAAGATTTTACTGAAACAAAAGTTTGAGTTCAGATCCCGTGGCATTCCATAGTTGGGCCAGCCCATGGATTCATGCATTCAAAAAGAGTTGAATGGCCTCTGGTTTGGTTTGGTTTGGTTTTTTGAGACAGGGTTTCTCTGTGTAGTTCTGGCTGTCTCTAGAACTCATTCTGTAGACCAGGTTGGCCTCGAACTCACAGAGATCCACCTGCCTCTGCCTCCTGAGTCCTGGGACTAAAGGCATGTGTCACCACTGCCCGGCTCTAAGTGTTATTCTTATCGATTTCACCTGCTTTACGTATCCTCAATTTCAGCAAGAAATCAAATGGATGTGAAGTACTGTGATTGGCAGCTTGTGTCAATGCTGATATTGTTGGACATTTTGATGGAAGGCAAACAAATTGATAGAAGATTCTGTGTCTTTTCTGAGCAGATGTTTTGATGGTAGAATTCAGATGAGTTAAACTAGTAGCATCCCAGCCCCATTCTGACCTTGACCATCTGAAGTGGCCAAGACTCAGTGTTGATTGTGGTCTTCTGCCATAATCTAACTTATACTGCTTCCTTGACTCTGTCACCAACCAGGGCACGACTCAGGTCAAGCCACCACCCTGGGATATTAGGAGGAAAGCTAGATCAGGAATCAAGGACTTCCAACTCAGCGTGTTGGGTCTCATTCCTCTGGGTCTTAGTTTCCATCTATAAAGTAAGGTTGAACAGGCTGATTTATGAGGATCCTTTTGGTGCCAAAGTACTATATAGCAAACGGGCTGTTGGTAAAGGAACAGAGGGTGTTGCGAAAGCCTCTCAGATCCTGTTTTTTCTTTGTATTTATGCACCAGAAAATGACAGATGGAGAGACCTGGACAGAAAATGCCCTCTTCAGATTGACCAACCAAGCGCCAGCATCTGGGAGTGTCTGCCTGAAAAGTGTCAGGATAGCTCCCTGTGGCACCAGGAGGCGGTGACTGCCTGTGCAGTGACCAGCCTAATCAAAGACCTCAGCATCAGTGACCACAATGGGAACCCCTCAGCTCCCCCCAGCAAACGCCAGTGCCGGTCACTGTCCTTCTCTGATGAGATGTCCAGCTGCCGGACATCATGGCGGCCCTTGGGGTCCAAAGTCTGGACTCCTGTGGAGAAGAGACGATGCTACAGTGGGGGCAGTGTCCAGCGCTACTCCAATGGTGTCAGCCCCATGCAGCGGAGCTCCAGCTTCAGCCTCCCTGCTAGGGCCAATGGGCTTTCCTCACCTTGCCACCAGTCGAGCCTGCACCAGCGCTTTGGGGGACAGCCCTGCCAAGGAGCACCAGGTTCAGCCCCCTGTGGACAGGTGGGCGATGCCTGGAGCCCCGACCCACACCCTGTGGGAGGGGGCCGGCTGGACCTGCAGCGGTCCCTCTCTTGCTCCCATGAGCAGTTCTCCTTCCCAGAATACTGTTCACCCTCAGCCAACAGCACACCTGCCTCAACGCCAGAGCTGGCAAGACGCTCCAGTGGGCTTGCCCGCAGCCGCTCCCAGCCATGTGTCCTTAATGACAAAAAGATTGGTGTGAAGCGGCGGCGTCCTGAAGAAGTGCGGGAGCAAAGGCCTTCTCTAGACCTTGCCAAGATGGCACAGGTAAGTGCCCCAATGGCCTAGAAGAGTCTCCAGAAGCACCTCACTGTTCCCTGGGACTTGTGGTCCTGGTTGGTCCAGCCAGTGATACTTTCAGAAATGTTTAAGAGTCAGTTCCCTTGTTCTGATGGCACTATTGAAAACAACAACAATAACAAAACAAACAAACAAAAAAAACTTTTTTTTTCTTTTTCTTTTTGAAGTATCTGGGTCTTTCCGTTTAAAACGAGGCATGTTCTTTCCCTGTAAAGCTCATTGCTAGTGGGACAGGAGCAGACAGATGGTGAGAGGCAGGCATTGGCTAGGAGTCCAGGGTGACCAAACACTAATTAATCCTCTTCTAGCCCTTTGCTGGTACCTCCTCTCCTGGAACCCACACACCAGTGTTCAGTATCACCCGGATTATGCTGATCCCTAGATCAGGGCCATGAGTAATGACTTTAGAAAAGGTGGGAAGTGATCAGTCTCTTTGATTAAATCGTCGAACATTTAGACTACCAAGAAATTGTTATCAGTACCCTTTGTGCCACCTCTACCAACTGTCCCTAGCACTGGTTGTAGGAGGAGCCTTTCCCATGCACTCCCGTTCCTCTGTCTTTGTCCTCTTTGTCTTGGAGTCTGGCATCGTGCCAACAGTTCTTGGCTATTGATCTGAATGAGATGGTCTTGGAGTTAGACACCATCATCAGGACAGGGTCAGAACCTGAGGGTTGGCTGCATTTGGTTCTTGCTATGGAGGTGTTAGGATGCGATCAAGAGATGGTGAGACCTGTGGTGTGACATTGGTCCTTATGACCACTAACTCTAGGATGAATGACAAAACAAAAGGGCAAAACATGGTACTGTTGGCTCCATGCCCATCTAGGAGGACTCTTTCTCAGTGCTGTAATATATCAGTTTTTGGTGTTCTATAAAAACATTGGTTATTTCTTGGGTTGAGGAAATGAGGATCTATTTGCTAGCGAGGGAGTGGTCTCAGCAGGGTTGGCTATGTTCTTCAGACAATGGGCAGATCCAGTGCAGGCAGGCTCGTGGTGTCTGTTCTGCATCAGACAGCAATCTTAGGTTCCCCACACTGACACCCCGCAACAGAGCCACCTACTTAAAACAAACACATGATTTCTCTTCATGGAGTTACCTTCTGTTCCTCCCATTCTCCAAGCCTGTCACTTCCCCACTGAAGACAAGGTACAGGTATCTATCTGAGGTGACCGCACAGACCACAGTTTTGAGCCACCTTTACAGATAAGCCCAGGCCCCATCCAGGACAACTGGGGACAAGTTGGTGATGTGCTTGTGTCACACCTGTGTTAACTTGGGACAGAGCTCCTGCCCCCTTCTATGTCCAGCTTCCATGACTTCCATCTTTGTTCCAACAGAGGCCCTTCCTCCTTCCTATATGGTAGATCTTTCTGACTTACCCACTGGACAGTAACTGACAGTATGTTGGATACTAAGAGGAAGCCTCCATCCCCTGATAGACTGAAATAGGTTAAAGGAGGACAGCACTGGATGACTTTCGATGCATAGCCTCAGTTAACTTTGTACCGCCAAGCCTGTTTTGTTAGTGAATAAGCTAGAGAGGTAGTAAAAACAGCTTACACGTGTTAGTAGATTTCACTAGCCACAAGCTGGAATAACACCATTGCATCACTGAAGACATTTTCTGGCCTCACATGTGTAGAAACTGTTTAAAAATATATTGCTCGGTGGGGTTGTGCCCAAATGTATAGATTGCCTCATCAGTTCCAGGCAGGCCTCCAAGATCCAGGAAGGTGCACTGGAGCCTGAGAAGGCCACCCTGGTTCAGCCTGTCTGCTTGGCCATGAGTACTGTGTTGGACAAGGTGCAGGGAAAGGAGAAAGTCCCTTGGAAAGAATGTGCACCCTATTGCCAGAGGTCAGACCCCTGAGCATGGTGTCCCAGCAAGCATCTCTCTCTGCCAGCTGTTTTTCCATGGGGCTCTGTGGTTCTACCTGCTTTAGCTCCCCATGCAGTAATATATGGTCTCAGGAGGTGGTCCTTACTTGCCAAGAGCATGATAACCAGGTCTGAGACAGTCCTTATTTTGTAAAGAGTCCTGGATTGGGGGCCTGGAAAGATGGCTCAGTGGCTAAGTGCATTTACTGTTCTTGCAGAGGACACAGGTTTGGATCTTTTACCCACATGGTGGCTCAAAACTGCCCATAAATCCAGTTTCAAGGAGTCTGATGTCTTCTTCTGGCATGCAGGGCCACCAGGCATGCATGTGATACACAAGCATACATCCAGGCAAAACATTCATACACATTTTTTTTAAAAGAGTCCTGGACTCAGCCAGGACACTGTAGGGCCCCAGGGCTGGGTTCCCAAATGGCAGGCATGTCATTGGTGCACAGAGACCCACATGTCGCTAGTGGTTGGTTGAAGTAAGATGGCAGCCTCTGCATGCTGTAGCTTCACTGGGCGTTTGCAGCTGAGAAGAGTGCAAGGTTTGCATGTCTGTGGAGGAAGAACTTGTAGGTGGCTTTCCATGTCTGTAGGATAGGCTTGGCCTGGGATTGGTGCAGCCCTTTCTTCCTTGAGCTGCCTCCCAAACTGTTTCATAGGTCTTTGATCTTGGTTCATATATTCACTCCACTTGTGCATTCTTGTGAAGGAACCTCTCTGCACGTGGCTTCTGGGACCAGGTGTATGAACACTTTAGATAAAGGTACAAAGTGCCTTTTTGGTTAGACCTTTGGAGCAGCTGGTGTCCTAATAAACCAACTCCCCTGAGGGACCCACTGGGGCCCAGAGCAGACCCTGAAGGTATGTGAGCTTGTGTGGCTTCCCTTTGGCCTTTATGCAGCTGGTGGGAGCCAGTGCTCTCTAACCTACCTGTAGAAAAGGAACTTGGTCAGGATAAGATCTAAGAGCCAGATGACAAGAGAGGGCAAAGAGCCCTGAGGTCTAGACTCTGAGGCCCTAGTCTTCATTGCTCCTATATTTAGCAGGAGCATGTGCCATGGGCACACACTCTCTGGTAAAAGTCAGTGTTATGTCAGGGCTTATCCATTACAACCTCCTGAGGGTACTGAGGTTCTGCTGGTTCCTAGGCCTGCCAGACCCTTTCTGGACATAGTTACTTGTGTATCCATATCTAGGAGGGGTGTTGACAAACAAGAAGGCCTCTGGAGAAGGGGTTATAATGCTGGAGCCCCAGGCAGTTTGCTTGACATTGCTGTGTAGCAAGTCCACAACCAACACAGGACTGTGGGGACAGTTAGAGAACTAATCAGTGTGTATATAATGTGTGCTTGTATGTGTGTGTTTTGTATAATCTAGAGAACGCTCGAGGATAGCTGTGTTTTTGGTTTTAAACGAGTGTATTTATTAGTATTTAGCAAGTCAAATAAAAGAATAAATAGCTAGTAGCAGATAGACAAAAGCAGCAGATAGCAAAACATCAAGTCAGTGAGGCAGCTAGCTGGAGTTCCTGATCATCTCTCTGGTTGAGCTTCCAACTTCCCATTCCCACTGCAGGCACCTTGTATCATGGGATAAAGGATGGTAACCTATATTGGAAATGGTTCGGCTTCTGTTTTTGTTTTTGTTTCTTCCTCTGTTGCTGGGAATCAAAGCCAGGTCTTTGTACATGTTTAGCACTGAGGGTGGGGCTGGTCTGAGCATGAGAGCTGTTTAGCAGCAGGACTTTCCCCGACATTGATAGTTACTGCTTCATTTGAGAGCTGGCCTGACCACCAGACATTGCTTGTCTCCCAGCAAGTACCAAGATATGCATGACCATTTAGACATGGATCATGTGTGTGAGAAAAGACTTCAGAAAAGCGACAATTGATAAGATTGCTCATGAATGCCATGCCCCTGGGTGCTATGTTTTTAACTCCAGGCTGGTCAGTTTGAAAGAGAAAACAAATTATATTTTTCAACAAAGCTTCAAACAGAAGCAAGACATTCATAGGGAGGGCTCAGGATGCTGAAACAGAGGTTTGATTGATTGCAGCTGCCCACACACTGCATCCTCAAGCTCCCCGAGGAGGCCCCAGAACAGGCAGCAACTGTTGTGTTAGCAGATGTTTGAGAAACTCATGAAAGCTGGCTGGGGTGCTCTGGGGCAGGGAAGAACGCGAGGTAGAAATAAGAATGCTGGCATATGGTCCGGGAGCTGGGGTCTTGCCCATAAGTTCAGATCGCCTGGTGGAGCAGGGCCACAGAGCTGTGCTGGCTGAGGGGCTGCTGTTGCAGACAGCAGGGGTTATAACAGATGCTTAGTGATGCCTCCTGGCTCTACTGGCATAGTCACCTTTGGTTGAAGCTCCTTCCAGCCAGCCTCTTCTCTGCTTTGTGTACCAGTGCTTTAACAGGGGACAGGCCCTCCTAGCTAGCAATTGGAGTGGCTCTTCATGATGTTGGATGTGTGATTCCTTATTCAGGCAGCCTTGGCAGTTGTGGGTCAGCCTTCCATTTTCTTGGCCAGATCCCTGGCTGTGGGCCTGGCTGGCCTAAGGCTTTGTGGCCTTCTCTTGTCTACTTTGTCAGTGCCCAGTGCTTTACCTGTTGTCTTGCCTACTGCCTCACCTGTGGCTTACCTTGGACTTTCATCAGCCTTGCTGCTGAGGTGGGAAACTGAACTGATGGTAGGGACAGGAATTTGGAGAGGGAGCATCTATAATATGGAATACAGGTTGGTGTGAAGTTCTGGGTCATATTGGAATGAAAGAAGTGCTGAATCAAATTGAAAACAATACCCATCAGCACATGGGAATAGTTGCTTCAGAAGAGCTTGACTCAAACAGAGAACCTGGGTTCTTGGGGCTTGTGAATGCTGAGCCATGGCTGCTTTGGGCACAGTAACCTAACATGCCTTCTTCTCTGCTCTTGACAGCCATTGCTAACCATTCATGGCAGTCCGTCCAGGTGAACTCACAAGAGGCCATCTTGGCAGCCACAGCTGCCTGATGAATAGTTGAGCACCACCTGCTTGTCCTGTGCTGTTTATCCCCTCACTGGTGAATATGACC